ATTTAATAAGCAATGAAAATTACACATATTCGCTCCAATATGTGTAGTGTTGCGACTTAACCATAATTATTGCCGAGATTAGCACACAAATCCGTTGAATGAAAGCCAACTTACCTACAGAGATTAACTTGTAACAAAAAATAAACAAAAATTTACTATTGAATCTGTAATCCTTTATTAAAAAAACAAATGTCCTTAAGCTATTTTATTATAATATGTAGTACCTAAGTGTCATATTCGTGTAGCAATTTAGGTGGGAAAAATGAACACGCATATTATGTTTAAGACCGGACGTTTTCATAAATTATTGTAAAATTACTTGTACATTGAAGAATTTTATAATAAAAAAATGAAATAGACCTTGTTCCATCCAATGGCTTTATAATGTTGCATATGACATCGCTTACAAGTGAGTGTTCGATTAAATTATCATTTCGAATAATGGCAATTTAGATAAAACAGTTGATAATTAGCTGAGTGATATCAAAATCAAATATATAATAATATTATATACTATTATACTGTTATAAAAATATTGTTTATTTACATTATATACATTTTTACTTGTATACGCGATCTTATTTGTATTTTGCATTCATTAATTTTATAATAGTTTAAAAAGTAATTAATATACGTACTTAAATTATCATAATTTATATTCATATTACCATTTCTCGTCTAAAGAAATAATAAGAATATAAATTGAAGACTACTATTGAAGAATACTTATTATATCACATATTATAATGTATTTTGAATTGTACATTTAATTTTGTTAAATTTTTATCTGTACTTTGAGTTATGGCCCGAATTGAAATAAATCGAAATTACTTACGAAACTAGTGAAATATTCAATATATTATGTTATTAACTGTTATAATATAATGAGTTATAGTATATTATGTAGGTACTCATATTATGTTAGGTAACGTATATGTAAAAAGTAAAACCATAAAAACTCGTCAATAAAATACAAAATATCAACACTAAATAATGATGAATAAAAAAACCACAGTTCACAGCACAAAATTGTATATTTTTAAAAATATTTTAATAAAATAAAAAATATAATACAAATATTGTTTTCTCTTATACGCAAGAAAGTAATTTTATTTTATTAGGAACGTAATAAAAATATAAAATACATGTAATAATTTTCCTGACTATTTCTCGTAAACGTTTCGCTCACGCGTCACGCCCCCCCGATCATAATCAGCATACTTCTTTGATTATTGAAAACGGATAAGAAAAACAACTATTTTTTTGTTTTGTTTCTTTTTTTACGGCAAAAATAAAAGTAAATTATTTTAGAAAGAAAAATTCTGTGGGAACTCGTCTGCTTAAACTGTTACAATAAATTAAAATAGTAGAACCTAACCTGTGGATCTTAATTACAAAATATTGCTCAAATTGTACGATTCCTTTTCCTATTAATACGGTTAATTGTACTTAAAAGTATAATGGTTTATTTTTCCAATGACGCATCGCGATGCAAAGATAACAACTGCGCGGGATCGAGTGAAAGGGTTAGGTAGGTACGATAAAAGGCCTACGTTGGATAATACGACCTAATTACTAAAGATACTTATCAGGTATTTTTTTTCTCGAGATTAATAATAGAGGTCAAGAGTCAGGCCAATACTCCCGTTTTATTTACTCTTATTGTTAGATTAACAAAAATAAGAAAATCGTATACCGTATATCAGGTATATTATACGTCATGCGTGGTGGTTGTGCAATTTTTATAGAAGACAATACCGGGTGATCTATTTAATGCAAGACGAATTAATTATTTCATAAAAAACTATTAAAGTTTTTGAAAATATTTGTTTTAAATCTTTAAAGTTGTTAAAAACAACATTTTTCTAAAAAATATATGGGTATGTTTTACTTTTTTTGTCGTTATTGTTTTTAAATTTTTAGTTTTTTTAATAACAACATGCTTTTTAATTCTCAATTCCAAAGCACAGTATTTTTTGAAGTACTTCGATATATTATAAAAATCGAATTTCAGACGAGTAATTCATAGTTTTAATGTGTGGAATGGAGTGGTATGCACCCCGCAAAATGTGGTTCGACCACGCTGCTCATCAAAAGTTTAAACACTTGAAACTATAATACTGGTATAATAAGCTTGTCCGAAATTTGATTTTTAGATCGAAATAGGTAAGTACACACATTTTGGAACATCAAGCTTCGGAACATGAAATTAAAAAGGTATAAGCTATCACTTATAATTCAATAGAGTAAAAAACTAAAAACATGACCGGAGATCAAATTATAATTTTTTTTGCCATAAAAATGTTATTTTGTAACTTGAAAATTATGTAAACGAAATAATTCAAAAACGATAGTGTTTTCTGAAATAATGAGTGATAGGTATGTTGAATGGAACACCCCGTATATGATACTAATACGTATGTCGTATATAGGAGCACAGACACGTTATCTTTGTCACCTGATAGACACTGTTGTTTAGTTCAATCGTGATTTATTTTTAGGATATAATATTATTATGCCACGCAATAAACGAGTAGTATTATTATATTATTATAATATATTGCGCAATATAATATCATGTTCTACGAAAACACGGTCAATAAGGTATTAACCAAAGATAATTATATATATAGACGTATGTTTACAGGAAGTGCGATATTGTTTGTTTTTATAGTTCTTACTCAAAAATGTGATAACGCGTTGGGTACCTACGCGTTCTTGCCGTCTCGAGAGAACGTATTGCTTTCGATGACGAAAGTGCATGTGGCTGCACAGCGTTGTATCAATGATAAAAGAAAAAAAACATCGAATGTGTGTTTAAAGTGAAATTTAGACTACACGCAGTGGTTGCATTATATTACGAGTATTAACTATATAGGGTATAGACTATATTACGGATACGAGTATGCATATTATTATTGTGTGAAGGTATACTGTACAAAAATTGAGAAATATCGAAATCATCTCATCGTTCGCATAGGTACCTAGGTTACGTGGCTACGAATTATCACTGTGTGCAAAAATGTTTTTACACGCGTGATGAAAATCGTATAAAGGAAATCACATGTTTATAAGTAGGTACTGTAGTCTGTACTCGTTTAAATATGGGATGGAACTAATGATATCGAACAGTCTCCGTACACTTAGATGTGTATAATATACACTATTATAGGCATACTGTATGTACACATAATATTATTATGCTGCACCATTTGACAATTACTGATAGTGACTTTGCGAATAGTTACAATTCCGAGAAAGAGCTTGGTGAGTGTATTTAATAATAATAATAATAAAAATATGTTAACAATGTTATATATGTAAATAAGAATAAAGCAATTTATTTATTTTTATCGAGCAAAACTGTATTTGAGCATCTGTTTTCGTCCGACCAAACAATTACGCATCAATCAAGATGCATATATTTTCACAAGTTTTGATTAAATTATACGACACGGGCCAATGGAAGCTGCGTCGTGTAACGATTGGCTGGTTGCTGGTTTTATGATTCCGAATAAAATTATCTTTACGGTGGCAATAAAAAAAAACCAACACCTTACGGTCGTTCCCGTGGAATATTTTACGTTGGAAAAAACCGCACTTTTAACAGCGTTACAAGATAAAAGTTTCATGTGAGGTCAATTAGTTCTAGTGTAGACTCGGCCTTGGCGGATATGCTTAAAAATAGTTTCGTGACAAAATTTTCAGCTAAAAGAAGTACCGACTGTACGCAGAGTTGCAGAGATAAAATTTATGAATTTACGTTTCGCGTGACACAAATGATGGGAGACAAAAAATATGTTAATGGTACGCACATTATTAATTATAATTTCATATAATATATTCAACAGAATCAAGAAAATATCGCAGTGACGTGTTAATCGATATAATAAACCTATAAATATTCCATTATCGTTACCAGTATACAAGTTACAATATACTGACCCAGAAAAAAAGTATTTGTGCCTAGTGCCTGCGATGTTCAACGGAAATCATAGGTCATCGGGATTTTCGTTCTTGAAGAGAACATGTACACAAATGCCGCATACTTATTATACACGACACATTAGCACTCTTCCTTTCACCGAGTTCCTTAATCTGTGATAAATGCTTGTTTCATTCTGTTATTTTTATTTATTATGATTATGGACGATAGTATCTTGTATGTAATTATAAGCGTTTCGTCGGTGTTGTGTTTTTGATGAGTGTAACGACTTAAACGTTAGCGCATACGAATAAACAAAAAATAACTTAATCGTTGGACTACATTGGTCGTCATTAAGATCTGCAGGAATTTTACTCCAACGACCCGACACTATAGGTATTATTGGTACAGTAGAATCATTCGAATCGATAAGCGAATCAAATGCAGCGACGAAATAATAAATAATTTCAACACCGCACTGATTGTGGTTAAATATAACAACAAGTACGTATAATAGCAAGTGTATACCTAACGCACAATTAATGATGTGAAAAAATTCATTACATTTCCTAAATTTGACCCTAAATTTCCTGTCCACCGGCATGATATGAGAAGCTCGAGTTGTAACCTGTACGAAATTCATGATATATTTATGAGGATAAATAAATAGCAGTTGTCGGTATAGCGGAGAAAAGTAAAATTTGATCGCCTAAAAAATCCGACGGCGATGGTCATAAATGGAAATCCATATAGGAGCTTAATATTACATTAATAATTGATAACCTACCTACAACTTCTATCGATATGGTGGCGGTGACGGTATCAGCTTTTTTTAAAAAAAAAAACATTAGGGGGGTGGTGGTTTGGCGTTGATCTTTGAGAAGTCGGGCTACGACGTTCTATTTTTTTCTCTACAATACATGAACCATAGTTGGTTCAATGTGAAGCGGTATCTATGGTACCTATTCTGCAGTGCAGGAATAAGGTTTATGACATAGCTGGTAAAGTGGCAATATAAATAGAATCGTTAGAGAAAATAGTATATAAACGGCTTAATAAATGATAGCCAACTTACGAGTAACCGGACGGCGCGTACGCCGCGGCGACGTTGTCCTGTATCATAGTGTCCGGTTCGGGATCGGCGACACCAGACGAAGAAGACATTGTTGTTGGCGGCGAGCTGGTGGGAACGCGGTCATGTCAACGACATGTCTTACGCGAAAATTGTGAGAAAAAAATTCAAAAAGGTAAAAACCCCGCGAATCGAAATCGAAGACGACCAGACGTTTGACGGAATACCGCGGGGTATATTCCGCTGCCGCTGAAATCGGGAGGCAGAAGCACTCACGATAATATTATTATGTTGTCTTCCGAAACCGACCGATGTGAAAACACCCGACGAGTAGAAAAAATTTACCTTCTACTACGTCTGTCCGACCGCGAACGAGAGCAAACCGGCGCACTCGCGAATTTTCGCCCGTCGAGTCGCTGGCGGCGGTGCGACGTGTTACAATTTTTTTTTTTCACTTTTTCTTCGAAAACATAAAGCTCGGAAACAAACGGAGAATAATCAGACAATTCTATGAAAAAAACTGACGACCGAACGACGTTTCGTGTGCGAGCAGATTCGACGTGTGTGCGTTTTCGTTTGCGCGCGCGAGAGCGAACCACTTGAACAGCCGGGCGAGTTATGGCGTACTGAATCGGTTTCGGCCGCCGCGCGGTGTGCGCAGGACGGCCAAAGGGGATAACCGGCACCTATGCGTGTTACCTGGCCTTCGTGCGCCGCGCGCCGCGCTAGTGATGTGCCGCCGCCGTCGTATATTTTAAAACAATATGTTGCGTACGGTTTATACCGCAATATACCTGTAGTGCGGTTGCGTGGTATTGTGAGCTCCTCTCTCGGAAATAATAATAATAATAATAATAATAGTAGTAATAATAATATTAGGTAGGTAGGTATAATAGTATTATGCACCGAAACGACCGTGGCCAATCGGTGCAGAATTATTACGACTTACGAACGCAAAAATGTATATTTTTAATATTGCTAGGTACTATGGTGTACCTACTACTACAACTACTACGCGTAAGCACGCAGCTATACGTAGTATCCGTGAATAAGACTGTGGAGAAATTAAAACAAACCAATTATCGACTAGGTATATGGGCACTATGATATTGTGCTGTTAGATTGTATAATACTATTGATGGTTTAGACTTTAGATGCGCATGCGTATTAAAAATAGTATAATCGGATATTTTTATCTACTCGTTTTGGAATAATCCGTGTTCCGGTGTTCGGCCACCAGTCCTTGTGCAAGTGGTTGTAAGTGGTAATATCACATACCTATCTAATAATAATATTTATTATTTTGTAGACGGATTAATTTAATTGCGATTATTAATCATTTTCATTAGTTGAAATACCAAATTTAATTTTTTTTAATACCACTAACTATAATTGTTAATTTTCTTCAATTTATGAACACAATAATTATCGTAATCACTTTTACAAACTGATTAGTGATTACTGATTAGTGATTACCTTTTTGCACTGAAAGTATAGAATATTTTATAAATGAAACTATTTTATACATTTTATATGATAAACGGTGAACATATTTTAAAGGATATCTGTAATCGAAAAAATGTCAGTATCGGAGTTCTGATTATATAATAAATAACGTTAATCATTTTAAGAAAACCATATGCACGTAATTTTTTGAGGTTAATTCCTATTAAATATATGCTTTACAGCTCTAATTTATCTATTTTCAAACATCTTAGATTCCATGCGGGGAATACGAAACTTAGTCAATGAATGAAAATATTACCTAAGTATTCCAAAAAATAATTTTGAACTATTAAACATTTAAATATTATTTATGTAACTATAAATTCTTCAAAAATATATTTGATATAGTACAATTAACTTATTATTATTATTATTATTTATTATAAATAATACCAAGACAAGTCATACCTATAAGAAATATAATGAGTTTTTATTAGATAACTTACTATATTTGGTTAATATTTGATCAACTATTATTTTTGAACATCCTGTGAATGATTTATTCTTATTAGGTAGTAATGTTGTCATGTTGAAAGTAAATTATTTTTAATATGTATGTCTAGTAATTAATAGAAAATAAAACATAAAATAATGTGCGATATATGGTTGTTATATATTGACTATTGTGTGCAGAGTTCCCAAGCTCTAGAAATTCACTGTGCGTTATTCAGTTTAATTTTAATAAAATATGTAGCACGTAGGAACCTATGTAAGCTATTATTTATTTTTTAAAGACAATTTTAATACCAAACCAACTCTGAATTACAAATTGACGTTTATAAAAATGCACTGTTATAAATTTAATTGGTGATATAATTTTTAAAATGTTATAGGCAATTTATTTTTAATATTAGTATAAAATTTGCAAGTACCTAAAAATATTATAGCTGGTACATTATATTTTTTATTATTTTGTGTAATGTGAAAACTGAAAAAAACATAAGTTATTTGTATTAAACAAATGAAGGCTTTAACATCTCAGGCTATTAGTTTGTATTGAGATAATAGATTATATTATGTGTAAATGTGTGTATTGTGTAAATATACATAAAAAGAAAAAATACAGTTAATGATGATTCTTAATGATATAGGTATTAGCTATTCACAATTTTAGAACTTATTCATAACTGTATTGGTAGTTTGATAATTTTGGTGACGTTGTTTTGGTTAAGCGCTTCTAAGTTTCTTCCATGTTCCGATGTTCGGTAGAATAGAGAGTTTAGTACTTATAGGACATAAGATATTTTGTGGATTCTTCAATTATGTGTTTGACGGAAAGTTCAGTTGGCATTTATCGCATATGGGTGGATAAGAATATATGTTATTTATTTTTGATGATAAATCGTTGAACCTAAGATACGTCATAATAATATCACAAATTATATTAAACCAGATGGTGCACTTGAGCACTTCCTATATTCAAGTCATGTAGGTAAGAAAAAAATTAAAACAAGTCAAAAGCTGCCTCCAAACAGTTTCACCACTAATAGAAAAAAACAGTTTTTATGAGAAGTTATTGATTATTAACTACGCAACACTGATATTTAGCACTCGCGCCAAATTCCTAATTATTGTCCTATTATTTGATTCAATAATTTTATTATAGTAAAGGTGTTGTACAATGATTTATTTGTCACATGCGATTCTACTGCATTGAGATAGTTATATTTCAGTTATCAGTAAATGCAGAAGGGCACCATTTAGACCATAGACCTATAAAATATAGTATAATGAACATGCAGCACATCTCACTGCTATGCGATCCTTACTGACCTTACTGAGAGAGAAAGAACATAAAGTCAGCATAGGAACTGTATACATTTCACTACTTTGTTTCTTTTCTCACTCTCTATCATACCCCTGACTTTTCTCTCTATGGGCTGTCCATTAGCTTATAGGTCTATGATTTGGACATATTCTGGTTTAATATTATAATCTGTGATAATATAATATATAGGAGAATTCAACCGTATTTTGAAGTTTTTTTCGTACCGAAAACTGTGGATTTTGAATTCACGGGGAATTGCAAGTTGAATATGTGTTTAAGTATATTACAATTTATTTTAAGTAGTATTAATAAACGTTACGAAACTGACTGCATAACGTGATCCATAATGAAGACAATAATGCACCTTCGCCGTAGACAATGGGTATTACGACTTCCAGCGAGGGAAGTGAAGATTTCCGGGAACAAGAGTATACCATTACTATTTTATATCTCGTGGTCGAATGGGTTTGATTATGAAGTTATCAAACTATGAGATTATTGGATTGATAAAGCTTTTGAAATGCAGTATAGCTTGAATACAAAATCCGTTTCCGCATGGGAAAAAATAACAATTAGTGCGATTTGACAGACGAACATTAAACGTTAAAAACATACATTGCGTTTGGTTTTGGGTATTTATTTTTTGTACTTATGTATTTTTTTCACTCTAAACATTTACGAAACATTTTAACGATGCTTACATAGTACCTACATTAAATTACTTTATAGGAAACCGATGTGCCGATGGCCTCGATTATTAAATAATTATACATTTTATAATAACCGTTTATTTGCATTAATACCCCTAATTCATTAAATTATTTAGAAGAGTTAATATTATTAATTAACTAATTATAAATATATTAATAAATTACTAATTATTATTATTAAAAACTAAGTGCATGGGAAAATGTTAACATGATTTAAATGTGACACCATCAACAATTTAATTAAAATAAATATAGGACAAAAATGAAAGTATAAAAAGGAAAAATAGTTTATGATGAGAAAAAAATGGTAGTAGGTATAGTCAAATTAAAAGTGACGCAGAATTAATTTTATATTTAATTTATAAAATAAACTAAACAAAACATTTAAAATTCAAATCAACGTAGAAAATATACTACAATGAATTAATATTTTAAACAAAAAATGCATTCTCTATTTCTTTAAAATTCTGTTCTTACTATAGTATTCAGTAGCGTATCTAGGAATTTTTCAAACGCGGGATATACAATTTTTAATATACATTCAGTGTGTATAATATAATATTCATATTTTTATATAGATGTTGACATGTTGTACTGTGTACAATATTTGGTTTCTGGGGGGATATGACCCCCATATCACCCATTCCCCTCCCCCCTACATACGCCACTGATATAGTTTTACTGAGATTACATACAAAGACATGGTCATTTACGTCAGGTATGTAATGAGTCATGACCAAAGAAATGCTCATCTTATATCATTAGTCTGAACCAGTGTCCAGTGTAATATACAGATAGTATAAAGTAATGTAGATAACCGTGATAATGACTTATGATATATTATTTACTTATAGGTATACCTATAATATACTATATATGACTTTATCAAAAAATAAAAATGCTTAAACGGAAAATGGAAAAATTAATTCATACCTATCGGCTATCGGCTGTCAACAGGCATGTCAATGACATTTTACATTATACAATCGGATTAAATTCAATTTCTAAAATATAGAATCAATATGATGAATATTGAATTTATGCAAATAAAATATAAATGCATACAAATTGTTTTGAAGATTTATAACTCTCCATGCTATTATTTTAG